CAGCGCTCTCCAGCTGCCTGATGAACCTTGCGGTCCTCGCGCCGCTCGCGGCGCAGGTGACGCGCGGGCCGAGGGGCCCGCTGCCGCCGCCGCCGCTGGAGCTTGCGAGGGAGAGCGGACTGAACCATCCTCTCCTTGTTATCGTCTTCGTCAGCGTCTTCTTCATCTGTCTGTTGCTCGGAAATTCAGAACGAGCCTGGTCAATCAGTTTTTTGCCTGGAGCTATTCGGTGGTCTCGGACAGCTGACTCGAGCTTGCAGGAAGTTCGGACTCCCCTTTGCAGATCCCGTGGACATCAAGGATGGTTGCGAGTTTGACTTGTCTCGACGGAGCACGCAACACTTTATCTTGGATTTGGCCCGGAGAGGCCGTCTGGTTTATGTGCATCTTGGGGCGCCATGCCAAGTCTGGAGTATCGCACGACGGGGGATTAAGAACCACCCGCGGGCACGAGCTAGGGAACGTCTTGGAGTAGAGTTCGCGCTGTTTTCGGCCACGTTATGTCACATATTATCTCGTCGTGGGTGTTACTGGAGTGTGGAGAATCCAAGAACTTCGAGGCTGTGGAACTTCGACCCCATCGCTCGGCTTCGTGGGCTCCCGAACGTCATAGAGGTCAATTTCGATATGAGCATGTGCGGTACGGCCTATCGAAAACCGACTCGTGTACTTACGAACGTTGAGGCCCTGCGGGCCCTCGGTGATAAACTTCGTATACCGCACAAGCACGCTATCATGCTGCACGGGCACCTCACGTCTCAGGCTGCCGCCTATCCGTTCGCATTGGGCTCTTGCTGGGCAGGCATCTTGAGTGCCGCGCTCCCCAGAGCGGCGCTCGCGAGCGCGCGGGATTTCGACCCGCGTGAGATCCGTCATGGCCTCCTCCGGGCCGCGGGCCGTCAGCCGAAGACTGGGGGAGAGGCGATTCGCGGTGAGGACGGCGAGCGCCCCGAGGCCAGCTGCCAGGCCGCCTATGCGTACCTCAGCGGGGGCCCCTTCGTCCAGTTCGGCCAGGACAAGCTCCTGCGACGCTGGAGGGCCCACCCGCGCTGGCAGGCAGCGGCCGCCCGGCAAGGGCCGCCCTCGCCAGCCGTCGGCGCCGCGCCGAGTGGGGGCCATCCGCGTCCAGAGGCGCGACTCGCTGGTCATGGCGACGGTCGCGAACGCGACGCTCGAGCGGTGCGCGGCCGCCGTGCGCGAGTTCGAGATCTACGCGAAGGCCAAGAAGCTCGACCTGCAGCCGCTGAGCCGCCTGGGCGACAGCATGGCCCAGTACTTCGTGGATCTGTGCGACGGCGGCTTCGGAGTCTGGGAGGGTCGGAACACCCTGCGCGGTTGCAGTCTCCTGCGGCTCAAGACGACGGGGAAGGTGGACCTTCCGAAGGCGCTGGCCTCGCTGAATGGCTGGGCCAAGCGGTCGCCAGGCCGGATGCGCCTGCCGCTGCCCGACATCGTCGTGGACGACATCGCGCTGGACCTGGTGGAGCACGACATGCCCCTCATGGGCGCCGCGGTGGAGCTGCAGACGGACGCCTACTTGAGGCCCTCGGAGGTTGTCGAGCTCAGGCAGGGCCAGATCCTGCCGTCCGCACCAGCCGCGAGGCTCGGCGCGCACTATGGCATCGTCATCGCGCCCTCGGAGTGGTACGAGGTCACAAAGACGGGAGGCCAGGGCGACAGCCTGCTGGTCGGCGACACGGCACGCCCCTGGCTGACGAGCGTGCTGCGGCTCCTCCATCAGCCCAAGGCGCCAGACTCCCTCGAGATCTTCGACTTCTCCTTGGCGGAGTACGAGCGGGAGGTCAAGAAGAGCGCCGACCGCCTGGGCTACTCGTCCCTGGGCGTGTGCCCGCATGTCTTCAGGCACTCAGGGGCCTCGAACGACAAGGCGCACAACAGGAGGACCTTGAAGGAGGTCCAGAAGCGCGGCCGATGGGCATCGTCCGCTTCGGTAGCCCGCTATGAGAAAGGCGCCCTCATTCTCCAGCAGTTGCGGAAGGTCCCACTGCAGAAGCAGAAATTGGCGGCGAGCAGGAGCAACAAGCTGCCGCAGCTTCTCTTGGATCGCCAGCGCAAGCGCTAGCCGGGCCACCAGTACATGCTACGGGTGCGGGCAGAAAGAGACAGGTATCCACTCGTCTCCGATGTTTGGTCTCGTGCTGCAGGCCTGAGCTACTTCAATGGACGATTGTGTCAGGGGTGATCGATAAATGAGTCCATTCATATCTTACCTCGCGTGCCTCCGCAACGCGGCGGCTCAAGTCCGCCCACCCGCTGCCACCCACGAGCTTCTTTGCATGTCGCTCGCAATTCGGATGCATTTTCCCGCTGGGCAGAAAGAGACAGGTATCCACTCGTCTCCGATGTTTGGTCTCGTGCTGCAGGCCTGAGCTACTTCAATGGACGATTGTGTCAGAGGTGATCGATAAATGAGTCCATTCATATCTTACAGCTTTGCTGAGATGTGCACGTCTGGGCGAGATATTTAGGCCATCCTGGGGTGAATCCATTGCTTCGTCTTCTTGGGCGGCCAAATCTGCGTGGTCGAGCTCGACCTGATCGAGCGCTGGCTCGATGTCAGCGTCAAAGTGGCTGGCGGTCGGGCGGCAAGCGAAAAAGGCGCGGCTGTGGGTGGGCACTGGCGGGCGCGGAGCAGGCGCGAGAGGGGGGCCTCAGGAAAAATGTGAACTTCGGGTGTCCGCGGACTTCCGTTCCTGAGTGCGCCGTGCAATTGGAGGAGCTGGGAGGGAGGGATTGGCCACGCACGAACGCAACAGGGCGGGTCATTTTCATTTTTGCTGTAGCGTGTCCACCCATGTCCCGAGCTCCTCCTTGAGCCATCCGGGCGGTGCCCTTCCCGTCATCACTTTGCCTATGCCCTCGGAACGGAACGACACCAGGACCTCGCTGCGGAGGCTGAAGTTGTTTATGGAAAGTTGGAGCTTCACGTATTTCCTGTCGTGGCACGGCTCTACCCGAATGAAGGCGATGCTGTCCTCGATGTCGCTTTTCGTGATCGTGGCTGCCGTTTCGTCTGCTGGCTGTAATTTCTCGAGCCGCGCGGTCAGGCTGCTGCGGAGCGCTTCGCCCACGTCTGCTGCCGCCAGGGTCTCTATCATGACGACTGCGAGCGAGGCCGTGGGGGCCGAGCGTGGCGAGCTTGGTCTTGTCGGACTGGCGCAACGACTCGATCTCGTCCTTGTATGCCTCGAGCTCGTCCGCGAGGCTGGTGGTCACTGGGTTGTCGACTGGAAGCTGGACCGTGTCGATCGTGCTGGCCGCCAGCAGGCGGCTCTTCTGCGTCGTTTGGAGAAGGAGCTTGGCCATCGTCAGCAGGATGTCGTCGACGACGACGACGACGATGACGACGACGACGACGACGACGCTGACGCCGACGCCGACGCCAACGCCGACGCCGCCGCCGCCGACGCCGATGCCGACGCCGACGCCAACGCCGACGCCGACGCCGCCGCCGCCGCCGCTGCTACTGCTGCCCCACGCCGCCGCTGTCGACACCGCCGCTGCCGACGCTGCCGCCGACGGCGGCGGCGTTGGCGTCGCCGTCGATGTCGACGTCGTCGTTTCGGAGGTCTTCGGGCGCTTCCAGAGGTTCTCATCGGCACGGCCCAGCGCGGATCGAACAACTAACTGGTCCGGATGGGCCCTGGGATGGGTGCAGGACTGTGTTTAGGGTGAATGCTTGGTCGGAGGCGGGGAGAAGTGGGAGCCTTTTGAGAAGGCACGTCCCCGCCTCTCAGAGGCAGTCTTTTGTTTCTCCGCTGGCGATACCGGGCCTGACCAGGGGGGGGGGGTGGTCGCGCCACAATTCGCGGCGGCGCCGTCTGGGAATGCTTCAGAATGGCTCATTCCCAGACGGCGGTGGCGCGAATTCTGACGTGACCAGGGGAGAGGGAGAGGTGGGGTGGGGGGGGGGCGGTCACGTGCGTGACCGCGAAGACGAAATCAATGGGCTTGAGCTCGCCTGACCTCCGGGAGGCATTCTTAGATGGGTACTTCTGGGAGGCCCGTTTGCCTTCTCAGGAGCGGCCCCCCCTCGTTCCGCCCCCTTCGACGTGCGCCAAGCAGCACGGCTTTCTTCTCCGCCTCCTCCTCCCTCTCCTCCTCCTTCTCCTCCTCCCCTCCTCCTCTCTCCTCCCTCCTCCCTCCTCCCTCCTCCCTCCTCCTCCTCCCTCCCCCCTCCTCCTCCTCTCTCTCCCTCTCCCTCCTCCGCCTCCTCCTCCTCTCCTCCCTCCTCCCTCCTCCTCCTCCTCCTCCTCCTCCCCTCCTCCTCCTCCTCCTCCTCCTCCTCCTCCTCCTCCTCCTCCTCCTCTCTCCTCCTCCTCCTCCTCCTTCCTCCTCCTCCCTTCCTCCTCCTCCTCCTCCTCCTGCTCTCCTGCACCTCCTCTCCTCCTGCATCTCCTCCTCCTCCTGCCTCCTCCTCCTCCTCCTCCTCCTCCTCCTCCTCCTCCTCCTCCTCTCTCTCCTATCTCCTCCTCTCCTCCTCCTCCTCCTTCCTCCTCCTCCTCCTCCTCCTCCTCCTCCTCCTCCTCCTCTCTCTCCTCCTCCTCCTCCTCCTCCTCCTCCTCATCCTTCTCCGCCTTCTCCCCTCCTCGTCCCTCTCTTCCTCCTCCTTCTTCCTTCCTCCTCCTCCTCCTCCTCCATCCATCTCCTCCTCCTTCTCCTCCTCCTCCTCGTCCATCTCCTCCTCCATCTCCTCCTCCTCCTCCTCCTCCTCCTCCTCCTCCTCCTCCTTGTCCTCCTCCTCCCTTCTCGCCCTTCCTGACCCCCGTCCAGCTCTACTGCAGCTCCTCCGAGCCCTCCTGCTTTCTCCTCTACCCTCCTTCTTCTCCGTCTCCTTCTCGTTCTTATTGTCGTAGACTGGGCGTCGGGGACGTTTGGCCAGAGCAATGCATGTGAGTGTCGCAGCCCCCTTGTCGAGACTCGCTCTCATCTCGTCAATACCGTGATGCCACATGCTGCCGCCGTACCCTGCAGAGGAGCTCTGGCAGGCGTACAGGCAGATCCACCAGCTCACCGCGGGAGTGCGGCGCGAGGCCTACTGCACGGTGGGCGCTTTTTTGTCCTCCTGCCAGGCCTTTCGAATTCCAGCATCAGGATTAAGTCGGGCGTGTCCATCTACAGGAGGACTATTCAACAATAGTCAAACATACTCAGGGGGTGATTCTATATTTTTGAATTAGTTTTGAATGTTTTTGACTATTATAGTTTTCCATCCAAAATCAGCCTGTGGGAGGACACGCCCGACCTGACACCAGGACTCGTGGACACAGTGTACTCGTGCGGCCTCTCGGGCAAAGGTCTCGGTGTGGTTGTCGTGGTGTCGCCGATCGCTTCCATGACAGCGGGCGAGCGCGTTTTGGCGCGCGTGCTTCCAAAGCAACGCGCCGTGATACCGTACGGTCTCAGATCGCTGCCACAGAAGTAAGCCAGATGTCCAGCGCCAGGCGGTGAGCGCGTCCTATAGTAAGACTAAAGCACGCTGTCGAGTCAGCAAGGTCGAGCGCGTCAGAGGCCCCGCCTAATTACTCCCACCCTCCCTCCCACAGCATGCTCATGACTTGTGGCACATCTTGGCATTGGGATGGGAGCGTGCTCCCACCTCGCAAAACGGAAGGCGCTCGCGCGCGGCCCCGCTGCCGACACCTCAGCGAAGAGACAGCCGCGCGGGCCGCGCAGGGGCGCGAGCGGGAACACCTTCGATGGGCGCGGCGAGGGCGAAGCATGCGCCGCGCTGACAAAGCACTGCCGCCTTCACGCACAAGCTGTTCGGCGCTTGGGCGAGGTCGGCGTTTCGCCCGCTCCCGCGCGGCCCCGCTGCCGCTGTCGCCTTCCTGCGATTCGGCGCACGAGCCGTGCGCCGCACCAGCGCCGACACCCCCTCTCCAGGCGCAATCTCGCACGGAGGGTGGGCGAGGGCGACAGGTCACCCCATCGTGCGGACCCCCCAGAAGTGGCGAGTGGGAAGCATGCGCCGGCGGGAGCGAGAGCTGCATTTTCGTCCGTTCACGCGTCGACGGCTTTGTGTGCGAAAAATGTACGCCGCGCCCCAGCGGGAGCTCAATTTTTCTAGAAATGAGAGCGCGGCGCCGAGGCGAGAGCGGCATTTCGGCCTTTCGCGCGGGATGTGCGTCCTGTCGCATTCCTGCCACGCAGTTTGCAGCGTGGACGACATGATGTTCATGCTGAGATGAACATGGGTTTGTTGTGGTTTTGGACAGGTAGGATGGGACCCCCGGGATCCCAGCTAGGTGGTAGGGTAGGAGTATATACCAATGAGGAATAAGGAATTGGCAATCGGATTCGAATTTCAGTGACAGCAACGCTGCTTCTGCCATTGTTGCAGCGGCTCTGATCATGATTTCGCTAATTCTTATAGCAATCGAATTTCTGAACATTGATTATTCCCCTCCGAGTTGTGTGCTTCCGTTGCCATCCTACTTGCCCTTGTCATATGGTTTTGCGTTCACCACTTATTAGACACTTGCCTATCACTAAGCGAATGTAAGTTTTAGCCTTCTGGATGAGTCTGGCTAGGAGGAGAGTGTGAGGGAGCGCAGTTATCTGAGGCTGAGCCATCTCGCCCCCCAGGCCGGGCTATCTCGTGGCTGATGTGGGGCAATATTGGGGCCTTCTGTGATTTTCTTGGGCCATGTTGCAGCTTGTCAGGGGCGTCTTGGGGTCTCCGCGACCCACCTTCAGGCAATCTTGAGGTTATCTTGGGTCTTTGGATGGAATCTTGGGACCTGCTTGGGCCATTGTTGGGCCATCATGGGCGATGTTTTTGACATCGTGGGGCCTTTCTGGGATTGTCTTGTTGCTCCGGGTGTCTTGAGGCCCTCTTCCGCTATCTTAGGAGCATCTTGTGTCAATCTTCGGCTGTCTTGGGCCCTGCGGGTCCCCTTCGGGGCTTCTTAGGACCGTATTGCGGCCCTCATTGGCCCTCGTGGCCGTCTGGTGGCATCCGTGTGAGAACCTTGAGGACCAAGCACACCCGCAGAGACCAGGCTGAGGGACACCCCCGCCAGATCCGAGCCCATGGCGAATCCTCGACGCACCCATGCAAGCGGCAACGGGCGGCGACGAGGCGGCAACGGGCGGCAACGTGGCGAATCCCTGACGCACCCATTCAATTCCTGAGTAACATATGCTAGCGAGCGTGGAACCCCAACAGTGCATTTCTAACCACACATGTTGTGCGATCTAGGTGCAGCAATATATGTAGTGCAAATTATGTGGGGCAATCAATGTTGCGCAAAAATTGTGGCGCAATGTCTGTAGTGCAATACACGTGGTGCAATCTATGTGTTGCACATTATGTGCTGCAGTCTATCTGGTGCAATCTATGTGGTGCGATTTTTGTTGTGCAATCTATGAGGTGCAACCTATGAGGTGCAATTCGCCACCGCTCAACTTGAAGTTGTCCACTCCACGGTTCGCGCAAACATCCCACCCACCCACCCGCGACTTGGTTTGCAAACCCCATGCGTGCGCGCACGCTCTTGCGAATTATGAAGGGGACCATACTTGTTCAACATGTTTATAAAATGCTGCCAAGCGGCCTTCGCGTGCGCGCATGTCGAAATCGTTCGAACGCCCTTGCGCGCGTGGTGGGGTGGCACGATCCGTGTCAAATAATACCACGCGGGCCACTCTCGCGCGTCTGCCGCGCGCGCATGTCGAATTTCTTCCAAAACCTTCATCACCGACGCGAAGACGCCGTCATCGTCGCCGGCGTGATCAACATCGGCGCCGTCACTGGCTGCCCCGTCGTCGCTGTCAGCATCGCCACCAGCATCTATCATCATCGTGTCTACCGTTGTCGACGTTGCCATGATACCGCGCCCGCCCAACCCGCCGACTCGCACTGAAGTGCCCACTGGGATGTGCCGAGCGGTCAGCGCCACCGCGTTCGCGTCGGTCTCGCCAAACTACCTGGCCGCTGCGCGCGCGAGCATGCGCGGGCTAGCGCGGCCGCAGAGATGCACCAGCCATCCGTGTTGCGAAACATTTTTTCCTATTCTTCCCCTTTGACACTCGATTTTGAAATCTTTCCGAAACCGAAGGTGCGCGCGCGCGACGACGTGCGCGTGTGCACCTCGTCCGGTTTTTTGGCAAAGGATTCTCGCGACGGCACGCGCGCAGGGGTGTTCGCGCAATTTCGGCATGCGCGCGCGTAGCGCGTTTGGTAGCATGTTCAGAAAATTGGTGAACTTGCGGTTTCCTTAATAATTCGCTAGGGGGCGCGCACGTTTTTTGTTGCTTCTTGTTTCTTTCGTTTTTCTTTGTGTGTGTGTGTGTGTGTGTTGAAAATTCGTGTTGCGAAACCCGTTCTTTATATCATTATTATTGTTATTATTATTATGGAAATTCTTTTTTGGGCACTCGATTTCGAACCCCCTTCCGAAATCGAAGGTTTTTGAAGGATTTTGGCATGCGCGCGCAACGACGCGCGCGTGTGCACTTCGTCCCGTTTTTTGTTAGGGATTTTTGCGAACTTATGATTTTTGACAAACGAGTGTGCGCGCATAACATTTTTTGCAGAGGATGGCGGGGGGGTCGATACGGGCTGGCTTGGGATGGTATGAGTAGGGAAAATGAACGAAGGGTCACGATCACATATGAGTTTCCAATCGAAACGCGTAACGGATAACCCCGGGGTGGTGGTGGGGGTATAATTCAATTTCTTTCAAGAGAGGAGAATCTATTTGGTGCGTTTCACTTTGACCGTCTTGAAGCTGTCTTCTCCACTGCTCGTGCAAACATCCCTCCCTCCCACCCGCAACTTGGTCTCAAGACGTCTTCAGACCACGACGGTGGATACCAAATGGCACTTGGCGACGACAGCGACGCCGACGACGGCAGCGACAGCAATGACGACGAAAACGTCGCCGACGACGACTACGACGACACCGACGACGGCTCCGGCGACTTCGACGACGACGACGATGACGACGACGACGACGACGGCGGCGACACCGACGACGACAATGACGACGACGACGCCGACGACGACGCCGACGCCGACGACGACGACTGCGATGACGACGCCGACGACGACGCCGACGACGAAGACGACGACGACGACGACGACGCGGACGACGACAACGACGCCGACGGCGACGACGACGACGCCGACGACGACGACGACGAAGACGACGACGACGACGTCACTAACGAAGACGACGACGAGTGAGGAGGGAGGACGACGACGGCAACAACGACAACAACGACGAGGGAGGAGGGAGGACGGCGACGACGCGAACGACGAAGAAGGAGGGAGGGTGGCGACGCCGACGGCGACAACGATGAGGGAGGAGGGAGAACGACGACGACGACGACGACGACGACGACGACGACGACGACGACGGCGACGAAATAGGAGGGACGACGACGAAACGCCGACGACGGACGACGACGACGACGTGGGAGGAGGAAGGACGACCACGGCGACAACGACGACGGAAACGACGACGACGCCAAAGAGGACGACGACGACGATGAGGAAAGACAGAGGACGACGACGGCGACGACGACGACGACGACGACGACGAGGGAGGAGGGAGGACGACGACGACGACGACGACGATGCTAGAGCGCGCGCGCACGCTTTTGTTGAACATCCGTGTGGCGAAACCTTGTGTTTTTGTAGGTTTTTTTGGGTACTCGATTTTGAAATCCTTCCGAAACAGGAGGTGTTTGAAGGATTTCGGCATACGCGCGCGACGACGCGCGCGTCTGCACTTCGTCTCATTTTTTGCAGAGGATTCACGCGACGGCACACGCGCAAGGGCGTTCGACAGATTTCGACATGCGCGCGCGCGAAGCCCGTTTGGTAGCAGTTTGTGAAAATCTTTGAAAACTTAGATTTCGCAAGAGCTCGCGCGTAAGCTTTTTAGTAAATCAGTGTTGCGAAACCCTGTGTTTTTGTAAGTTTTATGTGTTTTTTTTTTGAAACTCGATTGCGAAATCTTTCCGGCACCGAAGGTTTTTGGAGGATTTCGGCATGCGCGCGCGACGGCGCGCGCGTGTGCACTTCGTCCCGTTT